TTTGAGATAGTTCACATACCATAAAATTCATTCTTTAAAAGTGTACAATTCAAAAAAAAGTGTACAGTTTTTTTTAGTATATTCACAAGATTTTGCAACCATTATCACATCTAACTTCAGAACATTTTCATCATCCCTCAAAAAACCCACATAACCCATTAGCAGTCATTCCCCAGCCCTGTTCCCAGCACTCAGCAACTACTAACCTACTTTCTCTCTGATTTTTGCCTATTCTGGACATTTAATATAAATGGAATCACACTGCATGGGTTGCATGTGCCAACAGGCACCTAAGGAGGCCACTGTTCTGCTGTGCAGCTTTTGAGTCTTCTCACATGTTTTTCCCTCGCGTGGAACGCCCTTCCATCAACACCCAGCTCCTTCCCACATTATGCCGTAGTCGTTTCCCAGACGCATCCATGTAGAGGCAACAAGTTGAGGACTGATCTCTACACCTCCTTCTGATCCCTCCCCTCCTATGGCCTACAGTACTCCTGACTGTCTACACACATTACCTTAGTCCTTAGTCACATGCTTCCCTATGCTATTTTCTTACTGTTTCATATATTCCTTCATTCACTCATTCGCTGTCAATCGTGGGCCAGCCATTTGCCACGACTGTGCTAGGCACTGGGTACAGTAAGTCCCAAAACAGCAAAGACCTGGTTTGACTTGTTTACCACTCCATCCCTAGAGCCTCACATAGTGACTGGCTCATGGAAGATGTGGAATAAATATTTGTTGAATAACTGTTGAATAGTCTCTTCTCTCCACCATATGGTGAGGTCATAGAGACCAAGAACTGTTTTAATATGTTCTATGACTGACTGAGAACTATGTACCATACATTGTTCCAGACATGAAAACACTGTTCTAGACAACTTCCTTTACTTCTTCTATATTCCCTAGCACATAATTATAACCAGAGCTAACATTAACTGAGGGTTTTATATGTGCCAGGCATTAGTCTAAGTTTTATCCATTATCTCACTTGATTCCCCCAATTATTCTATAAAATAGGCCCCATTATTATCCCCAATTTATCGATGAGGAAACTGAGGCTCAAAGAGCTCGAGTAACTGGCCCAAAGTCTACTAGCTACTGGGGTTTGAACCCAGGTGATCAGAATCTAGTGCAATCTCTTGACTACATTACTAGGTTGCCTTCAATGAGTATGTTTTGACTGACTGACTTGATTGAACAGGAGAGATCAAGGAAAGCAATGCTGGTGGCATACACAAACCTCCAAATAACCACCAAATAGGGGTCGGGCCTTAAAAAATGACAAGTTGTTATGCAATTCCTTGACCAACACCAGATATAATAGTTGCATGGTCTTTGCAAGCTTATGGTGTGGTAAATAGGACATAAACTATGATATCATTTATTTCACCCAGTCATAAAATGCTAAACAAAGGAGATAGCCCACTAGGCCATCCAAGGACTGGAAGAAGAGAACAAACACTAAGTTCCTAAATGTTGCTAACTCTTTACTAAACTGAAGGCAAGCAATAAACTTTCTAGGCTGAAAGTTCATTTGTCAGACTCAGTAATGCTGGTTGACATCAACAGGCTTGCCAAGGCACTAGCAGGGAAAAAGGAAAAGGGTGGGAATAAGAAAATCAGAGGGAGGAAAATGGAAAAGGGGAAGCCACCAAGTACTGCTTTGGCTGCTTTTCTTCTGTGGGCTGGTGCCACAGCAGGAGAAAGAACCGTCAAAATGAGCATTAATTTAGCCAAAGGACCGTGGGGTGGGGGTGGGGGGTGTTTAGTTCTATGGGACTCAGTGAAACGGAGATAGCAAATCTCTATTTATCATACTTTGATTTGGGTCCCACATCAAGTAAATAGAGTCCTGTCCTTAGAAGTAAGCACAAGGCCTAGGTTGATGCTGTGTGTTGGTTTGGTAATGGGGGATTTATGCCACTCACATAAATGTGTGATAAGATGCAGGGGGTGAAAACAGCTATTAACACTGATTAACTCAAAAGTTGACCACCAGCACACTCAGCCATTGTTTCCACCAGTACTCTTTAGTGATGGGCTTTGTCTGGCTGGCTTCACAAGAGACAAATGCCATTACAGGAGACCAAATAACATTATTTAGGCAGTCAACAGATAATAGAGACGCTCCAGGTATTAGCCTGACTGCATTAGTTTGATTTGTTACTACTGTTCACCTTGTCCTGGGCATTAATGGAGACAAAGGCTTGGAATTACCAGGAGCAGAGTTAAGCTGTGGATTAGAAAGAGCCTGCGTGTTTTGAGAGAAAGATAATTTTATCTTGGGTTTTCATTTCCATGTCCATCTTGCTTGATTTCTCCTTAAAATTAAAGTCCAGTTTTCTCCGAGTATCATATTCTCACCAATGTACTTGTAATTGTAATTGTTAAAAAAAAAAGTTACTAACTCATTATTTCCTTTAATAAGATCAGCCTTTATCTTTTAGGTTTCTGGAAATGATTTTAGGGGAAATACACTAGTTATCTATGTTATTATTATATGTTATCTTACTTCTTGAATATTCCCATATGCTATGAACTCACTTTACAATATTTAGTGATATTATAAGTATCTGAAAATATAAAAGTGTGTGCATATTATATTTATACTTTTTTAATATTATAAATCCTGTATTTTTTCTGACTTCTACATGTTACTTTTTTCAGTTATAAATGAACCATTTCATAAATGATTTCAGTTATAAATATATAACTGGTTATAAACACAGTTTATTTCAATTATACACATACATTTTAGAACCACATAAATCAGTCATAGTAAATTGTCACTGGGAAATACCAAGATAATGATATTCTAGAGTTACCATGTTTCTTTCCTCACCAGACTTTTTACAGGTATGATCAGTTTTTATAATTAAAAAAGAATTTAAGTGCATTACTAGTTGTTGATCAATGTTTGTGAAGCTGGTTCATTTTTTCCTTAAGTCTATAATTTTATACAGAATCCTCACACTTCTCAGACTTGAGGGTTAGGTTTTAGATAAACTCTAGATAAACTATGGTTACTCTTTGAAAAATCAATTGTGACAAGTACTTGTTCAAAAATACTTAAATATTAATGCTGTGAAATACTTATACACAGGACTTGCTAAACTAAGCAAACATTAGGAAGGAGGCAGAGCTATCTGAAACTGTAAGATGTTGGAAAGAGGCACAGACTGTTAAGTGTGATGGCATTTTAAAAAAATAACAGCAAAAACAACAAATACGTATGTGTGTGTGTATAGTTATACATATATAGGTGCTTTTATACACAAATATTTAATGATGGTTATCTGTGAAGGATGAGATTTGAGGGGGTTTTACTGTATTTCTATATGGCTTGCATTGTTTACAGTTTGTAAATACGACCTTTGGGATTAAAATAAATGGCTATTTGAAAAAGTTTACCCATCACATGACCCTTTCCCCTCCAAGCCACTCCTGGTGGCTTCCAGTTCTCCAACTTACTACAATTTCACAGAAATCTAATTAAGAGCAAAGAAAGCTCCTGGTGGATAAACTGTGGCTAATGTATTTCATAAACAGTGCTTCAAATGTTATGTTAATGAGAGCAGCTCTTTATACGAGAAAAAACGGCACAGTCTGACAGTAGAAACTTTCTTGGAAAACATTAATTGCCTCTGGCCTTCTAGTTACTTCCCTGCTGCTCTTCTTTCCCTCCTCCCTCTCCGTCTCAGCAACAATAGAGCTGGAAAAGCACAGCTTATTGCTGACCAGTTGCTGGGACACAGAGCTCTCTACCCCAAATGCGCTCTCAGTAAATGATTTTTAAAAGTTCTAAAATCTGAGTCATGTTACTTTTCCTCAAGATGCAAAGCCCTCTAGTCTTTCTCATGCAATTAAAAGAAAAGAAAAATATATAATGGGTGTAGATTCAGTAACTCAACAAGAACTTTCTATTCTGGTCACTACTGGGAGAGAAAAGAAGGGCAGAGGAATAGGAAGGAAAGAAAAGGGAAACAAGGGAGAATTTCAGTCCTAAAGGGTAAAGCTGAAATACGGCTTACAAGAAACAGAGTCCTCCAGCTCATTTCACTGGCCTTCCATTCATTAATTGGGAAACAAATACACAGATGTCCACTGGTAGGACTCCCTTGTGATGCACCTTATTCTATTCCCATCTTTCATTGACAGGTACAATGACAGATGCAAAGAAAATAGTTTTTGTCCCAGAAAGTGCCCTGATTATTTCCAGTGACGAGGTTAGAACACACACGAAAGGAAGGATGGCTACCCTATCTCCTCCGTCAACAAATTACTTGTAACAAAACATACAGTTGATTGGAAATCACTAAACTGGAAACAGGTATAAGCCAGATGATCATTCTCACTTTGATGACTGAAAGTAAAACACAACATTAAAGGGACTAGGAAAATATTTTAAAATGTGCATTTGCAGCTCAGTTCTGCTGTGCAATGCAATACTAATGGCATGACTATGACAACTGATGATCTTATATCTCTACTTTGGCATAATAACTTTGATTAAAAAAAAACCCAACAACTTGAAACTAGAATGCTATAAAATTTACATTGATATATGGTGAGAAATTCTCACTGCTTTATGACAGAAATCAAGAGAAATGAAAGATTCATGAATAAATCATACTCTGTATTTAAGTATAATCATGTTTCAAAATGCAGTTGAAGGAAACAAATCTATTTAAACAAATCTCATTTTTGTGCCATTCTTTAGATTATTTGACTTGAATTATTTTGAAATGGAATCCAGCTTGTGAAATTAATTACTCATGAGTTTACTGATTTTAGCAAATTGATTTATTAGATTAAATTTGCTCACAAAAATAGTTGGCTTTTTCTGAAAATGTTTATTAAAATATATAGTAAAGGCCTTTATTGTAACTAAGAGTGTCCAAGTATAATAGGTACCATGGTATAACAGTAATTATTTACAATATATTTTCAGAAAAAAATGACAATACTCAGATTAAATGCAGAAAGGAAAATACACATTTTTAACACTTGATATTTCCATTGATTCTTCATGTTCTGAAACTGGAAGGTAATCTCACATGTTTAGTTTTCTATTTATTCCAGGAGATCTGTGTTGAAATTTTTTTTTGCCATGAGAAACTGTGATTCTCTATGGGATCTTTTCAGCTTTGCACGCCGATTTTGGAACCATATCTAAAATTAAGGAAAAATACAACATATCTCAGAAATATTATTTTATTATTTTTAACATTTTAATCACCACAAGTAACAACTAAACTTGAAAATTACCTGGATTCTGTCTTCCTCTAGGTTCAGTTTTTGAGCTAAGTCTTCTCTGATATCAATACCAGGATAGCAGTTTACTCTAAAGACATTTTCCAACACTTCAACCTAAGAACAAGGAAACAGTTATTTAAAGTGTCATCATAAAATAGACTTTAATTTGTATAGCAAAATAGTTGCATTTAAATCTTGAGCAATTAATCTGTATACCTTTTTTTTAAAATGACTATCCAGAAACTGTTACAAAAAAAAAAGATATAATTTATTGTTTCATTAATAAGGCTTCTAAGCTGAGGTCCCACAGTGAATGGGGTTTTGCCCAACAGCGTGTCAGCTAAAGCCTTTGTATTACGATTGCTGGTTGAAAAAATTTCCTACCTGGTTTTGAGTAAAAGCAGTTCTTGGTCTTCGGCCTCTATACCAACTCAACTCTCTTTTCAAAGAAAGTCTTTCTGAGGCTGAAAGGTAATTTTCATATTTCGAAACTCTTTCTTCTTGCACTGGGTGATCCAAAGCACAAGGTAACGAGGTCCCATTAGGAAGACTTGGGATATGTAGACGTAGGTTAACATCTTTCCCTAAAAACAGAAAAATAAACCCCATCTTAGATGTTCAATTCTATATTCCACAAAGTCTTATAAGAAATAATTTCAGGAACTTGTCTTTAATTTTCCTAGTAGAATTCTTCTGGGTTTCACAGGAGAACTGATCTCTCATCAACTAAAATCCCAAAAGCAAACAAAAATGAAAGCCTGTTTTGCTGGTAGAGGACACATTTTGGTCTCCAAATGTCATTTACTTTTCAGTGGAAAGAGATTTAGAATATCTAATGTGACAAACACAGAGATCCTCCAAAGTAAATGAAGGTTCTTAGACTTTCCTGGGAGTGAATTTTATATCCGCTTGGGTCTAAGGCTGATAGTCTTAATTTCCCATAGGCTTCAGCTGGAGACATTAAAAGTGCTAGATACTTCAATTATGTAACTAGATGAAACTGCAGTTTTTCTCTAAGTCTATGTAGTGTGTGTATATATATATATATATATATTTTTTTTTTTTTTAAAAAGGCCAAACTGAATCTTGCAAACAAATAACAAAGAATTTTAAAAATTAAGCTGTGGCATACCTGAGGAGTCGCAGGTGTCTGCCCATGGCCTGTGCGGCTTCATTGATGGAACACAGTCTTTCTTCTGGTCCAGTCCTAAAATGCTCTCAATTGAAAAGGAGCAGGGCGAGGGCTTGCTTTCCCCAAGCCGACCACCTTCCTGAAGGTTGGGAGACATCCTCGTGTGGGTTGCACAGAGCTACGGGTCTGGGCTCTAGCCTCTCGGAGCCTCCCAGGCTGGCTGTGCCCTACGTGTACAGGGCTGGGACCTGTACAAGGGGGCTGGATTTAGAACGTCACTAATTAAAATCCCGTCTTAGAAAGTTTTAGCATGTCAATGAACACTGGCCCAGCCAGCAGCTTCAGGAGTTAATTGTTTATTTGTTTGCAAGTAATTAGCAACTAATGGCTACACCAGGGGGGCCACCTACAGGGACAAAAAGTGTTATCTCTCCTAAGCAGAGCACAGACTTAACTTTCTCGAAAGAAGTGATGCACAAACTACCACTTCTCTTTTATTTGAAATCATTAATGTATAAAATCATGCTTTTTGTTCTGAAGTTTACACTTTCATGGACTCTAGTTACCTAAACATACAGGCCAGATAGGAGAGCAGTCAAGTAATAAATAATTTTATTTGAGTGACTTTTCTTCCAAAGAAATTGGAAAAAAATAATAATCTCTTAATGCTATTACGGTAATTCTGATGAAAATGCCTGTTTTTCATATGCATATGTAATAGTGAATGTTGTCAATGAAAACACAATAGAATTTGGAGTGCAGCATACTGGAAAAGGTTGGCAATGTTATTAACACTGAGTGTAATTGTCTTCCAAGTGCCTGGATTAATTCATAAGGAAGAGTTGCACCAAGTATTTTAAATAATTAATGAGCTAATTCCCTTTTTTTCATCTTTTCTTTTAAATGAGAGAGGTACAAGTTTATATGAAGATTCATACATAACCACCTCCAAGCAACTTGAAAGCATGACTATTCAAGTGAAAGGAAGAATTTCTCTTTCCATCACAGTTGTTTCAAAGGAAAAAGCATTGTCTATTGCATCTTTTAAAGAAAAATTTCCCTCTGCTGATCTTTTGAGGGACTGTGGACATGTGGACATTTCATGAGGACAATAAGGTTTGTGAAAAAATAAGCAAGAATAGAGTATTTTAATTTCATCATCCTAGGAAAATGTGAAATTAAAAGAGAAACACAGCTGTTAATTGGGAAGATTCTGAAGCGGCCACTCCTCACCATAGTTGGGATACTTTTTTAGTTTTTGTACTCCCCTGCTCCTCTTCCTCCAGGACCTTCTTGATAATAAATTTAAGTGCTCAGCTTTGTCCAGCATTTAGACAACTCCTGGGCTTTTCTTGAGGGAAGAGGAAAAGTGGTCTGTGCTCACAGAGGTAATAACCTCTACAAGATGGAGCTCAGCTTCATCAGATTTTTCCCTATCATGATGTCACTTCCTGTCATGATGTCATAAATACTGAGCTAAATTCCTCCTTATTCAAGCTCTAGAGTGGAGAAAGGAGTCACACACAAAATATCAATAGGCACACAAGATGGATTTATAAATATACAAGTAAAGCCAACCGGAGAATGAAAGAACTTGTAAACGTTTACACCTCAAAGAGGTTTCGCCTAGAGCATCTTGGGAGGTAGACTGTGCAACGGTGGGGGTGACCTTACTCTGGGGACACTTGAAGAAGAGAAAGAGATTCAGAACCTTGCAAATTTCTTTCTTTCCTTTGAAACATTCATCCATCCATCCATCCATTCCACAATTGGTTGAACATCTACTCAGTATCAGAAAAAACAGAGTAAGATACTTGCCTTCATGTGCCCATGAAGGTCACAGTGGTGTCATGGATGGGAGGGTGAGGAGACAGGCAATAAACAATACTTATAAGTAAATTATCTTGTACATTAATCAGAAAACAATGGTAAGAATGGAAAAGGAAAAAGGGAAGCCAGGAAAGCTGGTTCATCAGTATGGGAGGCAGGAGGAGGCCTCACTTAGACCTTTGACCCCACAGGTTAATGCCCTAGCGGCACAAGTTACAAGGATGCTACAACATGTGCTGAAGCAATGCCAGTCCCCAATTTCTTCTTTATCAACAAGGACTTTATAATATTTTTATTTCTCCTGAGTTAGTTCGATCTGGACTTGCAAAATACCATTTTATACATGGATGAGTAGATGAAAATAAAAGATAAAAAAGATACTTTGAAAATGTAGAGGAAATTTTTCACAGATATTCATTCAACAAATTTTTATAGAGAACTTAGCATGTGCCAGACACCATTCTAGGCACTAGAGATCAATGATGAACAAAGCAAGGTAATTTTAGAGAGTGATAAACTCATGGAAAGGCATAAACTAGGTGACGGTGAGGAAACATAAGGAGGGTGGGGGTAGAGTGGGGAGAGGGTCTGTAAGTATCGATGGTCAGGGAGGCCTCTCAAAGGAGGTGATACTTTAGCTGAAGTTGAGGACAGGAGACAACCAGCATGCCAAGATCTTGAGAAAAAGCATTGCAGTCACAGGGAACAGGAAGTACAGCTGCTGCAGCTGAAAAGCATTGGAATATTTGAGGAAGAAAAAGGCAGTTAGCCAGAGGGAAGTGAGCAGTACCAGACGCTATTGTTTGGAGAGCCAGACTTGGCTGGATAACGTATGCCTTTATAGAGACCATAGTGAGGAGTTCAAGTGCAAAGGGGAGCTAGGGCAGGGTTTTAAGCTGAGACTCATATGACAGTCTGAGCTGTTTTTATTCACAGTACTTCTGACACCAAATGTGTTATGGGTTTTCCATACCAAGCAATTCTCCAATTTTCTACAGACACCAACAGGGCGTCCTACAATTCAGTTCTGACACTAACTACCTGGAGTTAGTACAGACTCCAAAGGTCAAGAGCTCAGTCCCGTAAGGCTGCTCCCACTTTAGATACTAGCTGCATGTCCCAGGTTGCCACTTGTACTTCTGATCAACCAGCTGTAAACCCAGGGTTCCCACGACCCCCTTCTCAGGTTCAATTATTTGCTAGAATGGCTCACAGAACTCAGGAAGGCACATTACTTACATTAGCTGGTTTATTACAAAGGATACAACTCAGAACAGTCAAATGGGAGAGAGGCAGAGGGCAAGGTATGGGGGAAGGCACACAGAGGTTCCATAACCTCTCTGGGCACACCACCCTTCCCGCACTTCAATGTGTTTGCCAACCTGGAAGCTCTCCGAAACCTGTCCCTTAGGGGGTTTATTGGAGGTCTCATTACGTAGGCATGATTGATTAAATCACTGGCTATCAGTGATTGTCCTAAATCTCCAGCTCCTCCCCACTCCCCTGAGGTTGGGAGGTGGGGCTGAAAGTTATAAGCCTCTAATCTAAGTTTGCTCTTTCTGGCGACCAGCCCCATTTTAAAGCTATCTAGAAGCCCACCAAGAACCGTGTTATTAGAATGAAAGATTCTTCTATTGCTCTTATTACTCAGGAAATTCCAAGAAATTTAGTAGCTGTGTACCTAAACTCGGGACAAAGGCCAAACACATTCCTTTCTGTATCACAGAACTTGTTTTTAAACACTCACCTTGGCTGCTATGTGGAAAAAGACTAGAGACAGATAAGTGTAACAAGGAAGATCAGTTGGGAGTTGTTTGTTCAATACATTTTTTACTGGGCATATACTACATGCAAGGCATTGTTCTAGGTGTGGTGAAAACAGGTAATTGTCTAGGAGCAAGAGATGATGGCTAATAGTGGGTTTGGAGAGAGGTACAATTCTTCAGGAGGCTGTGGGAGATTGAGTAATTGAATAATTGGTTCCAATTCTTCAACATCAATAGTATATTATATGACCACTCTTGCTGTGGCCTCATAGTAAATACAGTGTCCTTCCCACCCCTTAGCTTTGGGCTTGTCTACGTGACTTGCTTTGGCCAATGGGAAGTGATGTGAGCTGAAGCTTGAAATGTGCCAGCATGACTGATTTGCCCTCCTGAGCTTCTGTTATCACCATATGGTCATCCCTGGGGTAGCTGCCACCGCTCAGCCTGAGCTCCAGAATGAACACACACGGAGCGCACCCCAACCCATCCTGCAGCCTGCAGCCTGCAGCCTACAGTCAAGTAGGCCAAGCCCAGGCAAATTCAGTCAAACACTAAATGACCTGCAATTTCATGAATGAGAAAAGTAAATATTCATTGTTTAAATCACTGAGATTTGGGGGGTTTGACACACAGCATTGTGGAGGAAATAGCTCATTCATTCAGAGATAGAAAAACACATCTTGCAGATGGATTGAATATAGAAATGAGGGAAAGAGAGGCATTAAGGATGACTGTTTTTTGGCTTGAGCAAATATAGTGTCATTTACTGGGTTGTAAAAGGCCAGACTAGGGGAGGAAATAATTGGGGAGAAATGAAGTGTTCCAGTTTGGATAGCAAGTTGGCTACTGGATTTATGACTATAAGCTCAGGGCTGAATCTCTAAGTTTGTGCATCACCAGCACAAATCATCAGTTTTAAAACCATTAAAAGCCAGAGGTTTGCAGGAGATCATGCAGTGAAGGGACCTAGATACAAGAAGGATCTTAGGACCAAGTCCGAGGTATTCCAACATTTGGAAATTGGAGAAGATGTGCTGGAGAAGAAACTGGAGAAGGAAACAGCTAGTAACGCAAGAGAAAAATCTGGGGATATGGAATCGATCCAAGAGAGGAAAAAGGGTCAAGGAGAAGGGTGACTACAATAGCATCTCAAGTGGTCTTCCTGTCTCCATCCTTGATCCCTTATGGCTTTTTTATCAACACAGCAAGAGGCCAGAGGAATCATTTAAAAATAAGTCAGTTCATGTCACAACTCTGCTCAAAACATGGCTTCCCATCTTAGTAACAGTCAGTCTTTTTAGGGGCCCTCAGGGTCCCATATGATATGCCAGCCCCATGTTTCTATCTGATCTTATCCCGTATTGCATCTCGCACGCTTACTCTGTTCCAGCCACTTGGACCTCTGCTCTTCCTGAAAGCACCAGGCACAATCCTGCCCCAGGCCTTTACACTGGCTGTTTTCACTACCTAGAATATTCTTCCTTCACGTAACATCATGGTTTACTTCGTTACCTCCTTCAAGTATTTCCTCAAATATCACTTTCTCAATGAGGCTTACTCTTCTGCTTCTTTAAAAATTTCAGCCTCTCTCTCAGGACTCCTGATGCCCTTTGCCCTGCTCCAGTTTTTGTTAAAAGCATTTACTATCTTATGCCTTGTTATATATATGTTTATTGTGTTTACTATTTTTGGTCTGTTTTCTGTCTTTAGGGTTTTTGTCTGTGCTAGTCATCCCCCAGCATCCAAAACAGTGCTTGGGCTCATACCAGATCAAAGAATAAATGAAAGGTCAGCTGTCAATGCTGCTGAGAGGTTGAGTAAGAAGAGAGAAAGATATCTACTAGGTTTGTTAAGGAGGGGGTTACTGGCAACTTTGGCAAGCTGGATGGGTAGAGAAAAAAGCCAGACTTGAAGTAAATTGGAGAGTCAATGAACTATTTCTGGTCTAGCAATATCCTGGGCCATATTCCTTGAAAGACCTTTCTACTACAAAACAATTAGATACTAAAACATACCTTCAAATGCATTGCTGGGATCCCAACAAGTAAGGGAAACTTTATTTGTTCACCAAAGAAAACAACAAAAACCCAACAACCACGAACTGAAATCAGAACTGGGAGCAGTGATCAGTAACCGAGCAATAAACATGAGGTCACCCAAATGGGCAAAAACACTTAGCATTACGGAAACCAGGATTCTAACCCTCAGGCTGGAAGTAGGTATAGGAGAGCTGAACTGAAGACCCTCACTTCAGGTCAGGACCTTCAACATTGGCTCCTGGCAAAAGCAGACCAAATCCTCCCTGGAGGAAAGCTTTCCAAATTTAGGTCCATGGGATTCCCACAGATTAAAAACAAGCAAATATAAACTCATAATCAAAGATCATCAAGCACATGAAGCCAGACAACACAAGAGAAAATTAGCAGAAACGAGATTTACACCATGTGGCAGAGACTGCTAGTTGTTTCACAATATCCATTCTACACTTTTCAGTAGCACTATACTTTTTAGGTAAAGGTTAACAACTACAATTCCCAAACTGTCTTACATGTTGGTATGATCCTATGACTTCTCACCTATGAAATGTGAGCAGAAGCAATGGGTATAATTTTTAAGTCCTGCTCTTAAAACTTAGGGCTGTGCCCTTCCTGTTCCCATTTTCTCTCTCCTGCTGTTTGGACTGTGGACAGGATAGTGGGTGGTGAAATGTTAAGGATGGCAGTGTAATAATAAAAGAGAGAGGGAGCTGGGAACACTGTTGATTGGGAACTGGATTTTTCTTTTTTTTTTTAAATTTTTAAATTTTTTTGAGGGTTTTTTTTTCTTTTTTTGGTAGGGGAGAGGTAATTAGGTTTGTTTATTTGTTTGTTTTTAGAGGAGGTACTGGGGACTGAACCCAGGACCTCATGCATGTTAAGCATGTGCTCTACCACTTGAGCTATACCCTCCCCCTGGGAACTGGACTTTTCTATTCTAGCACTGAACTATGTACTTGGATGGAGAAATAAATGTCTGTCTTGTGATTTGGGGTCTCTGTGTTATAGCAGTCAAGTCTATACCCTAACTAACACAGATCCAGAAGAAATTCAGATACTAGAATTATCAGGTATAGAATATGTAATAGCTATTAATGAAAGTTTAAGGATTCTAAAAGTTAGAATCATAAATAGAGACAAACAGAGTGAAATTATCAGGAATGTCTGGGAAGATTTTTAAAAGAACCAAATGCATTTGATAAAATGAAAAAATATATATAGCTATTGATATATACTCAGTGGATAAGTTAAAGGCATTTTGGACACAGTCATGAGGGTGTCTTATCCACACCCTGGCCAACACTTGTTACTATAAACATTTAAAAACTCTTGCCAATCTTACAGGTAAAAGAATCTCATTGTTTCCTTCTGCATTCCTTCAAATAAGGTTGGCATTTACTTCTTCCTATGTTTATTAGCCAAATGTGTTCCTTCTTTTTTGAAATGATGGTTTATGTCCTTAGTCTTTTTAGGCTGCTATAACAAAATACTACTGAATGAGTGAGTTATAAACAACACAAACTTATTTCTCACAGTTCTAGAGGCTGGAAGTCTTTGATTGGGGATGCTAGTGTGGTTGGGTGAAGGCCCTCTTCCAGGCTGCATACTTCTCATTGTATCCTCTTGTGGTGAAAGGGACAAGGATGCTCTCTTGGGTTTCTTATATAAGGGCATTAATTCCATTCATGAGGGTCTGCCTTCATGACCTAACCACCTCCCAAAGGCCTCATCTCCTAATACCATCACACTGGGCAGCAGGACTTCAACATATGAATTTTAGGGGTACATAAACATTCAGACCATAGCATGTCCTTAGCTCATTTTTTATCAGGGTGATTTGTTGTTGTTTCTTAATGAATTAAGAGTTTTTCATACATTAAAGATAATAACTCTTTGGCATATATAATAAACATTTTCCTCATTTTTCCCTTTACATTTTTACTTTATTGATGCTGTCTTTTGTTATATGAAGTTTATATAATAAAATGTGTTGATACTACCCTTTATGGTTTCTGCCTTTAAAAAAGGCCCTTAAAGTTCCCTTTATAGTAATGGCAAGTAGTTTCTATTGTACCTATCCTCCCAAAGATATAAACTATAAACCCTGGGCAAAATATTTTAAAAACTATCCCAAAATACTGGAAACTGGCCAAAAGCTGGCAGAAATTGAAGAGGGGGAGAATCTGGAACAAGTGAAAAGCCCTGGATAAGTTTATTCATTTTTACGGCTTTTTGTCTGAAGGCAGGCACCAATCAGCACTATGTGGGATGATTCATGATCTTTCTGACTCAAAAAAAATCAAAGGAGAGAGTCCAGAGTGACCACAGCAGCTAGAAAGTGACAGGGAAGCCTAGGAAGGAAAGAGATACAGAGAAGGGCCCCAAATTCTGCCCAAATCCATGGCTGAACTGGGCATGCACAGGGAAAACATCAAACATCTCAGCTAACACTAAAATGACTGAACAGAAATTTCAGCTGATGACAACTATAAGGGAGACAGATTTTAGAGGTAGAGCACAGCCTGACAAAATAAAACCAAAGGAAGAAAGATAGATAAGATAGATCAACACTCTTGAGAGGAATAAAACAGAATCTAGAGACTATGGATATCATTCAGAATGTCTACAATTCAATCCAAAATTACTAGACATACAAAGAAATAGGAAACTGTGTCCCATATTCACAAGAAAATGCAATTAGTGGAGAAATTCCCAGGAGTGATACAGATGTTGAAATAAGCTGACAAAGATTAAAAGCAACTATTGTAAAGATATTCAAGTACATTTATGAAAATATGATCATAAATGAACAAATAGTATACATTATCAGAGATGTTTACCATAAAAGAGAACCAAAAGTAACTTCTAGAACTGAAAAATAAAGTATCAGAAATTAAAAATTCACTGGGTGGCCTTAGCAGTATATTGGAAATGACAGAAGAGTCAATGAACTTGAAGCCATATTAAAAAAAAAAGGTTATTTAATAAGAACACATAGAAAAAAAAAACACTAAAAGTCAAATTAACACAGCCTCAGTATCCTGTAAGACAATATAAAAAACTAACCTATGTGTAATTAGAATTACAGAATGATAAATAGAGCAACTACAGCAGAAAAAATATTTGAAGAAATAATGGTTGAAATTTCCCAAAATTCGGTGAAAGACCTAAATTTACAGATTCAAGAAGCTCAAAAAACCCCAGCAGGGTAAACACAAGAAAAACTATACTGAGGTACATCATAGTTGAATGAATGAAAACTAAAGATAAAGAGAGAATTTTGAAAGCATGCAGAGAAAAATGGCACATTATATACATGGGAATAACAGTATGATTTGACTAATTTCTATTAAGAAATAATGGAGGTCAGAAGACAATGGAATAACATCCTGAAAC